ATAGTCACTCAGCCACTCAACATGCCGCGTTCGAACTGAGCTGCTGTCTGCAAAACATTGATGAGCGCAATTTGGTAGGAGGAGGCAGTAAGCGGGGTGATGACACCCCTAATCCAACACACCATCAGAGAGCCACGTCTCGATGAGAATCATCGCATCGGGGTGCAAGGGTCAGCTGGTACCACTTATTTGCCAGACTTGCTTTCCAGGCTCTGTAAGCCATTCAGGATCACGGAAAGAGAAGCGAGTTCCATAAGTCACTTCAAACTTTTCAACATTAGTGCATCCTGCCACCTTCAGGGTTTCGGACACCTTCATCGCAGTTCTGATTCTCGCTCGATCTTTCTGGGATAAGTCCATTAAGATCAGATGTCTTTCGGCCCTGATACATGGCAGAGAATGTGACAGCCAGGTTTTCACCTTGATAGCCGGTTTTCCATAATCGAACACTTTAGAAAAGCAGGATTATCAGGACTTCCGTTCACCAATGATTCGCCTCCAGGTGTATGTCTTCCAAACAGTAGCGTTTATGAACAGGAAGCACATGAGTCGAGAAAACGTCTGTTAGTTTTGCGGCTCTCGGTGCTGTATATGTCCACCGTTTCTGCGTGTGGCTGGCATGTCTTCTGACCGTCGTTTTGTCAGGTTGACGTCAGTGACCTGAAGACCAGAGTGGCATCTATTGCTTTTGCTATCTCAGCGAGTGTCATCGACGCAAGACGTGCTTCGGGGAAAAGGGTGAATTAGTCAGTATCCTCGGATACGTTGGCAGAGGATGGGTCACTCACATTACGCCAACGAGGCAACATTACTGTGTGGGAATGAGGTTTCCGTCCTCACTGGATGAAAAAGGGGCATCCAGGGATCCACCAGCTAGGGAATTCTAAGAATCTCTTTTGGAGGATGGAGGGATACTGCAACATTCGTGTATGCCATGTAGTCGCGGTGGTCCTCGGATTCACAGGCATTCCATTTCATTTTTGAGTTGCTAAGCTTTCACTGAATTCGGAAAACCTGTTCCGTTTCAGTGGCGGCATGTTCAATTTCAACGCCACCTGTGGACTGTTTGCGTGGAGCGGCCCATCGCACCAATCACCGAAGTGCATGAGTGCACTTTCCGACAGTTGTACGTCAGTGTTTGAGTTTTGCATTGTGGCGCGACGACGTTGAGAAATAGAACAAAAATCTCGTTCAAGTCTCCGGAACCTTCGCGCTCCTAGCGTCTGCTCCCTATTAGAGTTATTATGTGTGCGGTTTTACTTCAATGGCACTGATGAGCCACACGTCAATAAATGACTGTCCCCAACTCAACGGTGGAGATTAGTGTAACAGCCTTTAGCTCGTGATATCTGCCAAATATGTAAAACCAGTTGATCAAACGACATCAACTTTTCTGCTTGTTGAATCAACTCAGCTGAACTGCACGAAGATGGCTAGACTAGAGAAAAAGGGCTTCATGGCTTCAAACTTAATATACCAACCCAACTTTGCTAATTCATTTACGTTCGTGGTGGGTGGTAAGCCTGATGCTCAAATGCTGGGTATTTCTTCCAAAAAATTGTACCCATTTGGATGGGAATGATCTGCATGTGAGATCGCATGCATAGCTCAAAGACCGTGTTCTCTGTTCCTGATAGCACTCCACGGAAAGGCCAGAAAAATGGATTCACTTTGGAGTGGATTGACCAAGCTACCTGAGGTATTGACTATATTCGTGTCCGCTGCATCACATGTGCCGTGCTTAAAGATGAGAAAGACACATCAACTTGTTGCGTGATAGAGTCTCCTGATAAATCCACCTGTTGAGTATGATCTGGGTCCAAACATGTTGAGGCCTGGCGATAGCTGAACTGTGGACTACCAGCAGTAAACCAGATGCCTGAGTGACAGAATGAGCCACAGCAACGGGGGCTTCACAAAGGAAACTTTCGAAGCAGATGTGGTCACATCGATGCACGTGCTTGGCGTTATTCAACACTGATTTGGATAGGGTATTGAAGACGTTCACCAATAGCGAGTAAAGTATGCATCTGAAAAAGTTGTGAATTAACACTGCCCGGCTGGTAAAAAATGCGCACTAATATGTGCATTCGGAAAAAAAGCAGTTTGATGAACGGAATTTCTCAGCCATGTTACCTTCAAATTGAGGAGACCACATTCATCGTTCTACCACTTTTTCGACTGACGCGTATTGCGCGCACACTGAACAGACTCCTGGAGGCCACTAGCCCTGCGAAGTGCTTTACAACCGTCTATTTGGATTCAGTGCGTGTAGTACATAGAAATCTGGATTCAAGAAGGATTTGGTTCAAACCAGTAAAGAAGCGATGGGGCACAGGGTTATGGACACACAAAAGTGGCCGCATAAAAAGGCAACAGTGCTTAGTGTTCACGTGCTGTTGACGACGCCATCGCATCGCACCACAGGCGTGAGACTCGTGATTTCCTAACGATAAACGAGTACTGCTTCGTTTGGTACAATAATGATAGTGTGATGCATGATACAACTTGACCAGAAAGAATTGTTCTTAACTTTTCACTCAAAAGGGCTTAGTCTTCATCAAGCTGTGGACTCGGTGTTCTGGTCGGTTCTGGAAAAGTAATCCACTACGCGTTCCGTGAGTCAGACGAATACAGCGGTTTGATCGGTTGACGTTCAGATCTAATCACATCATCAAGCAATCGTCGTTCTCACGATGTACAGAGTATCACCTGGATTCTACACGGTTACGCAGGGCACTTAAATATGTTAGGAATGTGGCAATCAATAAATCACCCCTAACTTTTTGCGATCCTGTGATAATTACCATGCCTGAGATTTTTACAAGCGACTATTTACTGACAATCAGACTCCGAACAAATTTTGACGTACGTGCTAAACCAAACGAAAGTACACTTCAATTCATGGAGGCCGCGCACAAGTGTGATCGGGGACCGCTTGGAGTCGTGATCAAGGGCGTGAATTTCGACCCTGGGCATCAAGCGATCGAATCCTGCTACATCCGGACAAAACGCTCAGTGAACTACTTTCCCGGCCACTTCTGTCTTACGGTGTATCACCTTATGTATATATTGGAAAAATTTCCCCCGTTCAAAAATGCAAATGGAACTCAATCACATTCAAAAGACTGGGAAACAAACAGTCGGGCATAGATTGAAGTCGTGCCTTTGATTGACAAACGTAACAAATGAGGTAAAAATTTAAGTGAATTACGCTTCAATGCTGAAAATTTAACCAGGCGAGTTTGCTCAATCCTCTGCTGTGGCAACAATGTACACACCATTTTCGTTACCCTAATTGAATAAATTCGATTGAGGGGAACCGACGTATGCCGCCCAACCACCACTGGCCTGATAGGAATCACACGAACTAATTCTAAACAGAAGTGGCCTGGGTAACAACACATGGACATTGTTTTTCGTTACCCTAATTGAATAAATTCGATTGAGGGGAACCGACGTATGCCGCCCAACCACCACTGGCCTGATAGGAATCACACGAACTAATTCTAAACAGAAGTGGCCTGGGTAACAACACATGGACATTGTTTACACACTGCAGGGAGAAAGTTTTTTTTAAGGGCAGTTCGGCTTGTCATTGGCAGAACAAAAACCTGGGTATGGTGCAACCTCAGGGTTAACACAGCAGCGACACAATAGAAAGTGACCAAAAACAACTTTTATTGTTCTGAATGCCACAATATTTCTCATACTTTGGTCTGGGGAGGTCAGCTAACGCAAATCAGGTGCAACACTTCCTTCTTACAAGTCTTGGTGACTGAAACTTGGTATCACGATTTTCATATACAGGTTTCTCTAAGGATTTACTTCCCTCCATCCTTTTCTTATACGTTAGCAGCATGTGTACCTCTGATTTTTTGTGGTACACGCAGCGAGTCGGTGGATTATTTGAATCTGCGGATGGAAGTCGATTTACTCACGGGATAGTTTCACAAGCGATCGCATTGCTCATTGTTCTGAAGTGTCAGAACTTGGATTCTCCTCATTCAAGGAACGATATACTTTTCCCCTCACTGCTAGCGAATTTGGCATCCCAAGATCCCTTACAGTTGGTTTTTACAGAACGAACCAAATGCAGATGGACTTCCCCTCTTCACCAAAATCCGAAGACGAGCATTATGCGTTCTCAAACTCAGAATGATGACAGTGCTCCACAAGCTCATCTTGAGGTTCGCCAATGGGTTTTCCCATGCTGGGTTTACCGATCTTGTAGTATTCCACAGTGCGGCTAGACAACTATTGCTTCAGCGCACGGTTTTGAATTGTGATTCTAGGTGCAATGGATGCGCTCGTCAAGTTTTAGGCCAAGTAATGGGTGTCCTCAAGGATACCGTTGGATGTCCAACATCTTTCCTCCTTTTCCAAGACGGTTTCAACTACTAGCATCATTCCTGCCCGCAATGCGACCGGCCGCAACTATGTACATTCTACATGGACATCTTATTGATGGATGACATGATAACCCGACTGCTCTCATTTCTGCATGATCCTCCGTTTTCTCAAGTTCAAATCTGTCTTTCTAACTCTGCTGTACGTTGGTACCTTGGATTATTGAAGTTCCTCTTGAACCGGATTTTTGTTCACGCCTGAGTGGTGCGTTGTACAGGCAATCTATTTCTGTTCGACTAACAAATGATCTTACTAGCTCGGAGTATTCACATTCACGACACCTTCGCATGTCCCTCAGTCCTCTGTCAGAGCCACCACTGACAAGTGAGTCAGTAAGATTGATTAAATTCTGTTTCCCTGTTCGGTGGGCTCCCCACTGAGCTGGAAACCCGGTCACTAGAACGGTTAGAGAACATCTGGTTTTCCTCCGTCACTGCCTCACTAATGATCTACTGCCATATACCCAGCGGAGATTGGATAGACTGACTGATATGTGACAGACTTAGTCACGTCCTTCGACAATCGAAAGACCGTTTGTTTCACAGTCCTTTTGGCCCAAACATGTTTAAGGTGGAAGCGGTCTAGGGGACGTCAAGTCGTGATGTGCTGCAACCAACCGACTCTGATTGGGGAAACCAGAATGGGATAAATCAATGATTGCACTATCAGAGGTGTCTTCTCCAGATTCGACAGACTGAAAGGAAAAAAACGAAGCAAGAAAATCGTCCGACAACAGACCTTACCTGAACCCTGACCATCATGGTTGTGACAACAAACAAAATGCAGGTAATGAGACTTTGTTTTAAATATTAGTCTGTATAAAATATAGCATCTGATGAATAAGCCGACTAACATCGCTTAAGCAGAGGCAAAAAGTTCAGACAAAGAGGAAAAAGTGAAAGGTTTGGATATGAGTTTTCTTCTTGACGGAAACGGTGGCGTTCTTATTTGCAAGGCACTGGAATAGCAGCGTGACGGACCGTTGTTCGAGCACAAACAGAACAAAAATAGGGATACACTAGGGGTTTGCTGAGGGGTGCATAGAAACAATATACACAAGAAATCCCGATGAATAACATCGGTAAGGGGAAGCGCGGACGTGGAATGGGAGTAAGGGGGAGGGGAGTGGAACGCTGAGGACAACGGAAGCGTGACAAGTTACCGAGAGATGGTAGCGGGAGCAGAGATCACAGTTCGGCAACCAGCGGAGTGAACGAAGCTAAAATGAATGTTCCGAGAATGAATCGGCGGGCGGTACGCACGTTGCGAACCAAGAGAGGTGATGGTGCCATTGGTAGTAACAACAATGAGGTTAGCAGGGACGATCAGAAGGATGCTTTCGGAGGGCTTTCTCGACGCTTCACCTTCACTTTCATGGAACTCTGTGTGGGCGATTTCAGTTCTGATCGCTGTTGAGAAGCGCCTGCAGAACCGGTCCGTATACTCCGGTACAGTGGTTCTATCGCGAGTCTGGTACCAAGCTGAGTCACTCCGCCAGCCAAAGCGGCCTTAGCTGAGAGACCCGATTCGATTAGTTTCTCCGGATTTTGCTGAAGCTCCCGTAGACTGCGTACCAAGAGATTCATATGGCTTATCCACTTCTCTTGTTCAGCCACAGATGGAAGGCGAATGTAGCGCATTTCGGCTGCACTGTGACAAGAAGCGAACTTTTGGTGTTGGTCTACGTGATCCAAGTGAATGCGCATTCGACACTTCGTACATTCCAAAGCAGGAGGAGGGTTTCGGAGCTCCGAACATGGCCGGTAGCACACTTCGCAAAGCACAGTTCCAATACGAAAACGAATAGGTTGGAACGTGTGCTCTAGCCAGCGTATTAGATTGTCGGAACCGGCATGGTGGTTCGATCCAGAACCACCGGCGGCGCGTAGATTGGCATTGCTGGTATTCGTTTCAGATTCCGCGCTATCCAACAACGTGTTCGAGGTTGCAGGGTTTTCCTCTTTTTGGAAGAAAAACTGTAAGGTGCGGACGATATCAGTTGACTGTGCATGGATCAAATCAGCGGATGTGGCCTTGCGGACATGGATGATCTGAAGGAACAGGTGGAAGGACGATGTACTGACCGTATTTTGATAGTAAAATCTTAAAAAAAAACGGGTTCCGTTGGGAATATTAGCTGACTTTGAAATGATTATAAAATGTATCCGAAATCTCATCATTATCTGTTGCGCTCTGCAGGCACAAGGACACACCTGAATTCACTGCAGTCAATTATGAGCAAACTTTAGCATATAACATGAGAACATCACGTATAACATATTACGCTTATGCATTGATGGACATAGAATTTTAAACCCTTTCAAAACATACATACAGTAGCTGGCTAACTTTTTGAGGAGTGACTGACAACTTTGCTCGAGGGTGGGCAAGATTAGAATGTTTCAACAAAATTTACCGAGTCACTAATTCCTTCTTTGCTCTTGTGGCGAGGAATAGTGAATACAGTGAAACGAGGGGAACCCGGTAATACCAAGATTCCGATCGTGTGTCTCTGGGGCCGGTGGGCAGTGAGGTTTTTGCCTCATCATCAAAAGATGAACCAAAATTCAGTGGATGAAACTGTGGCTACGGTCTTTCTCGATCAATTCGGTGGTGAGGGCTGGTGCAGCACAGCGCTGGCCTAACCTTTCTAACTGCACTTGATTCTCGGGCTAGCCATCGTACAACAGGCACACAGACGGCAGCTGTAACAAAAGCACTTTTACACGGCTCGCAATGGGCTTTAGTGAATGGCGTCGTCGCGTTTCGACTGAATAAAAGATACGTGACACTGCGTACGGTCCATGGGGTCAGTTCATATGGTAATCATACCGTTCCAACTCACATATTACTAGGTGAGGAGAGGACGGGCTTCACAGCAGCACAAATCAGGAATATTAGTTTGTTGCAAATGCTGGCTTAATGGTAGCCAGATCTAATTTAAAAGTAAGATTATTGGGGTAAAATTGACAGGATCTAATTAACGATGGCGTAAACAGATGGAGTCATTCTTCACATGACAGACAAGTAGACGTTGGTTTTCAACATGCATGGATAGCATCGTAGCTGAACACGTCAAACTTAACGTGACTTTTTACCATCAAGACAACAGTCAACATCATCAACGACAGCACGACATCAGTGCTCAACACCGATGCTTCACTGCCGTACAACCGTCTCTTCGTGACGGCAAGACAACAGTTGCAAACGTTGCATGAAATTCATGAATTGGATGCAACGGATCCGTGTATAAACGTTGTAAAAATCACGTATCATGCGTTCACATTTTGGTTAAGGTCAGTGAGTAGTTTACACTCGGCACTTAGTGGTACCATGGAAACCTCACTAACGACTGGATTCAGGTTTCAACACATGCGAAACCAGTGCTCTTCTGTTGTGAAAATAAATGTCAAAAAATCAAAAGTTCCATCAGAGGCTGTCGCAAAACGGTCATATGGTAGTAGCCCTTGGAATTCTTTATTGACTTCGATACTTCCAATGTGATACTTTCTGTTTATTGCTAAGAAGCGCTGCAGTCAGAAAACGCAATCTGGTGGTAAATTTCACCTTTGTTTTGGTGCTAGAACACCTCAACCTGTTTATCGGAAATTCCGCATTAGATCACACAAGGTAAACAACGCCCCGGTTAGCACAGATGATTTTTCCCCGGTCTTCTTGACCAGTATAGGGACACATCAGACACCAAACAAACAATTGAGATCTTTCTCTGAAAAAGTCTCTTCACGAGAGCAGTCGATAACAAGTCATGTATGTGTGTGAGTCAACTACATCATCAATAAGCCGCTCGTAGCTGAACAGTAATGCTCAATTTTTTAAGGCTAGGTCTTCTGGCATGATCTGATAAAAAAATCGTTCAGCTGTAACATCCTTCCGATGACTAGCTGCCATGCCACCCGAAGGAAGCACGAGGGCTGAGATACTGCCAGGTTGTCCAAGCCTAGACAGGGGAAGTCGAGAGGCAGAGGTCGGGTTCGAACCACGGACCTTCCGGACAGTAAATTCGTGCTCTAACCACTTGAGCCATCTCGTCCCGCATGATCTGATGCATCCCATTAAAGACTTTCATCAAGAAAGAAACAGAACAATAGTTTTCGGTTTTTCGGCGTGGATCGGCCCAGAGTTGAGGGACAAAACCTGAGATAGAAAATAACGAAAACCATAGTTAGGTTAATGTCATTTGGCTACGACTTAGACAGGTAGGGTGCACTCAAACAAGTTCAGCGAAGTATTTCTGTCGGCTCCACTTAACGACTAAACTACCATGGACAATATGAAACGGGTTGAAGGTATTACTACTAGGCGCCCAATCAAAGAAGCATTATTACCCGCTAAGAGACCCTTGCGTCCATTTGTGAAGAGATAGTGGTATAAGAACCAAGTCATTGAACCGAAAAAAGTAAGCAAGGGGAAAACTTGACGGTTCAAAGGCCTAAAATTGAAATTGGAAACACCACAAACGAGAGATTCAGCTGGGTTCCAGGTGAATTTTTCGCAAAGCCGAATTTGTTTGCGAATGAGTGTATTTCGATAAAATTGAAACTGTTCACTGAACCCGTCAGAAAGAGACTGGACCTTACCGCGGTGCGACGGTTTGTGCAACTTCGAGCTAAAATGGTTCACGAGTACCCACCAACGAGAAGCTCGAAACTGCGTTTGGAAACCAAACACAATCGAACGCCATAGATGCAATATCCAAGTAAATATATACATCATGCTGGGGAAATGGGGATTTTTGACAACTTAGAAAAACACTGATAAGGACTGTCTTAACAGCAATTCCCATAGTTACGATGCAGCAATAAGAGTAATCAGCAGCAAAAGGCAAATTTGAGTGTGAGGTGAACACCAGAGACTGGTTGGTAAAAGGGTAACGAGCCAGACAATCAGACGGCCCATGTCTGTTAAATATCATGCCAACAGTTTTCTAGTCTAGCTTTTCAAAAAATGCGAACCGAGCCAAGGTGCATACCCGTTAGTTGGACCGGAAAAAATCGAACGGCCTAGAGAATACACACAGCACGATATGACACCGCTATGGACACGTGGAGTTTGAAATGGTGTTTTTGGAAAAGATCTTGAAGAAACAGGTCCAAGACCAAACACCTGTGGTAATGCATCACACAAATCTGATCAAAACGTCCGTTCGGACAATAGTTGCCGTGCCGCGCCAACCTTAAACGTACATTGACAACTGCAGTCAGAATCCACGAAACTAGCGTTGCAGAAAAGTCCTCTGCATTGGAATGAAGTGAATTTTACGGGTCACTTAAGTCAACGCGAAATAGAGAATTACGGATCGCTGAAAAATAACTCACTCGGAACCCAGGGATTGCGCTTAACTGACGGAATGAGATCGAAACAAAACCATCTGTAGGTGATTGTACACCTCATTTCATCGTCCGAAGGAATAACCAAAAAAGGCACATGCAGTGCAGCCGCAACAGTACGAATCTCAGAACACCACTGGAAGAGCTTGTGACTGAACCAATTCGTTACATCAGTCATTTAGTTATCCGTGAATATAGCAGCTGGACGATAGCTCAAACGCAGTAAACAGCTGCAAGTTGGACGAAGTTGCTTTCCATTTGCTAGTAATGAATAGCACCATGCACCTCGCTGCGGTAATTCGACAAGGGGTTTGAGGTATCTACAATTCAGCTCTGAGTGACTTAGGAGCAGTGCGATTACACTGCACATGAACCGGATATTCATCCCTCACTCAAACAGTTCAGTTGGCACGGTCCAATGATAACTCCCTGAGGGATAGGGACGTATTTGTGTGATATTTTCCCTTCGGATTAGGATACCTATATTTTATGGATCATGAAGAGCTTATGAAATTAAACATATTTGTCAATTATTGACGTGCAAGGGTGTGAGGACAACATCGGACGCATTATTCGAAAACAATGCTTTCAACGCTTGGACAAGTAAATAACGTAACACTGACCAGTGAGATCAACTTGTGCGAGTAGTCTTCAGTCAAATTCGTTGTACCCTATGATGAGCGCGTTCGTGTGAATTGTGCCTAAACAAGGTGGGAGTATAGCGCTCGATAGTGGCGCCACAGCACTTGCAATTGTGGATACTGGAGCAATTTTGAGCTTAGTTGAGCAGTGAAAGAAGAGCAATTGTCAACAATACATTTGACTGTCACAAGCATAAATGACCGATCGCAGTCACATTGCACAAACCGAACAAGTCATCTATGGAGCGCCTGCTCACCTGTCTAAGGCATTGAAAGACCACATAATTGAACGCACCCAAATGTGCGCTACCAGGTGCATTGGTCCCATCTTTTGCAAGGAAGTTAACTCTTTTTGAAACTAACACAAATAGTCGAATGGATTCCGGACAATTTCACGTCAGACCTAAGACAGGTAGAAAAACCAGGGTAGAACATTGGTCACCAGGTCTCGAGGTGTCTGGCACCATCACTCCATCATCATCCCAGGCAACATGACATCAGTGTTCGGCACCGATGCTTCACTGCCGTTAGCACCAACACTAATCAAATGTGCGTTCTCTTTCACCGTAACGCTGAATGTTGCATCCAAAGTCCTCAGAATAGGTTTACTCGAGAAGTCGCTTCGTTAAAACATCTACCTCCGAATCCGAGATATAACACGCCGTTGTAAGAAACTCCTAATAGGTATAAATGGACAGGAAGATAGCATGTTCTCACTGCCATGCGTGTGGTGGTCACAAATCATCTGAATGCGCGTGAACGTGCCGGGTACAACCTTAGCGTCTTTTAAACAAGCCAGTCAAGTCACGAACGGATTCATGCATTTAAATATGCGTTTCAAAGTTCAACTCCGTCCTGTTCGACGAGTTCAAACCAGAAACCCTAAAACTCTTCTGACCGCTTTGTGATAAACTTGAGGGCACAAGTAAGTGGGCATGGGGCCAATTGGCCATCAACTTCATTCCAGAACAATGAAGAGGAACAGATTATGTCACATGTAGTCAGATAAGCGGCGAGCTGAAAAAGTGCGCGATAACTCGTCCCACTGTTTGGCCCTAGAAA